GGCTACGGGTACGGATACCTTCTGCCCGTCCTTTAGGAAACCCTTCTGTCCGGAAATTTATTGATCTGGCCATTTCAGTTCGGTGAGCAGTGATCACAATCCCATTTTCAGCTACAGTCTCAGCGTTGTCGTGCCAGGACCGCCATCATCGGACCGGGAGGTCTATACGACTTATGGAATGAAGCAGCAGCAGCACTATTCCTTGGAGAGCGCTATTCCGTTCCGCATAGACCCTGTCGAGGGGGCGATCTACACGACCGGGCCGTTGGATCGAGAGCAGCGCGGCGAGTGGACGTTGGAGGTCAAGGCTGAGGATAACGGCAGATTTGAGAGGCGCAGCAACTCCACAAGGCTAATCGTAGTCGTGGGAGACCGAAACGATAACGAACCAGTGATATTGAACGATCTCTACGATGTTTTCATACCTCAAGGACTTCAAAAAGGTAGAGATACGGGGTCATTTTGGCTGTTGGGATAGAGTCAGAGGTCACGGGGTCAAGGGTCAGGGTCATTTAGCCAATCTAGGCAACCGTACATGGTCATTAGGCCAATTTATTTGCAGGCGACTTGGTGCATTGCGTGCGAGCCGCTGACGCGGACCAAAACGACACGCTCACGCTTGCGATTGCGCCGGCGGTCGCGGGCGACAGTGATCCTGACGAGTCGTCCGGTTTCTTCCGTATCGACCAGCGAAACGGAGCCATTTTGGCGGCGCGGAGTCTTGAAGCGAAAGATTTCTATCGGGTTACGGTAACGGTAGCAGATGGCGGAGGTCATAGTAGCGCCGCTACATTTAACTTTTACGTGGGTGGCGGCCACGGGAAATTTGGAAAAAATTTCCCACGTTTTGAGGTAATTTTTTAACCCGTGGTGATGGTATTTTGACGGGTGGCGGTATTCTGGGTTTTTTTGAACCAAACTTTTGGTATTTTCAGAAACCAACCCGAAGCGAGTTCGTCGTGAAAGAAGGCGCATCTAGCAACCCAATAACGACGTTTCGTGCCGCTCCTCCAGGGCGACAGTTCATCACGAAAACCAAAGACGACGACTACAATTCATCACACCGCGACGACAATTCATCACAAGATGACGTCATTCGCTATGCTATCGCTTGCGGTGACCGCTGGGGAGCGTTCCGCATCCATCCGTCCAACGGACAACTCTACGCAACGTCAGTGTTACACTTTTGCCGCTTATCCATCAAAATAACAGCAACGACATTCAATCACAGCCACCGACAATTCATCACAGCCGCCGACAATTCATCACACCCCTAATTTCAGTGCTAAACTCGATTACGAGCTGCAGAATCGCTTTGATCTCGTCATTTCGGCCAGATTCATCACACCGCCAACGGATTCATCACAAGCCAATGGCTACCATCCGCAAGCGGGCCCCATTGGCGGCTCCAGTCTGCCTCCGCTATTTGCGTACACCCAAGTTACGATTCTTGTTGAGGATTTGAATGATAATGCACCAATATTTGACCAAGTACGTCGTATTTTCCTTCATTTTGCTACTGTTTGACATCGTCGTCATTTGATGGAATGTTCCACAGGTACAGAAATGGTACAGAATAGCTAAAAACTGGTATAGACTAGGTATAAACCNAACGACAATGCACCAATACTTGACCAAGTACGTCGTATTTTCCTTCATTTTGCTACT